AACTATAATGGAGACTATAGGTAGGGGTTCGGTGATGACTGGACAGTTGCCGAGTGCTGTTTCCGGGGCAAGTGCGCAGGACTCACGGGGTTTAGGATGGTGAGAAGAGTTATCGGTCAAGGAACCAGCGGATGCAGGCGAGGAGCTTTGGGGTGTCAGGCTTGATGCTTGATCTCAATCGTTTTTCACGACTTGTTCCGAACGAAGGGAGTGTTGAGGGATGGTATGAACTGGTGTTGTATGGCTGAGAGGGAACTGGTCTTGGAGAGCCTTCAACGTAGAGAATTGTAGCTCCCAAGTACCATGCTGCCGACCGATCGACAATGATTTGCATTCTGTGGAAAAGGGTGCTCGCTTCAACATCAAAGGCACCGCTGACAGAATGCTTATCCTGCTCGGTGCGGTCGGAGTCGGTGCAATTTCCTGTTTCCCAGCCATGGGGCCCCAGTTTGTCCTTTATGTTGCACTGGGTTTTGTATGCCCCCCCCCCCCCAAACAAAACATATTCTGGCTCCCTGAATAGTGTGGCCCGTGTGATCCCCGGCCCTCGCGCGCCTTGTAGCATGGTACATAAGTGCCGTAGTAGTACGGTGATACAGTACGGTACAAGACATTACAGTACAACACAGTAGCGCTGAGCAATGCAGTGGCAAAACCTGCAGGAGAACGGATCAGAATACTGAGGGTGTCTCTACCGAAACCTGACTTCTCCTTCTTGCAGGTAGGCTTGAAGCCTACCGTCCCCGAAACCACACTACTCCCAAGCCCCATAATCGGGTCTAGCTTAGGGCTCTAACTCGGACTTAATCGGGTTTAACGTAAACTCCGAAACCCTCCAGAATCTAGCGCCCGACAGCTTGTCTACAAGCTTTGACGGGATTCAGGACGCCAGCCGGTAAAGAGCTCTCAACATGAAAATCACAGCCCAAGCCCTGCAACATCCCAATGCCCAGCCGGCAAAACAACTTCGATGCTATTTTGGAGGTTAGGGTTTAGGGTTACTATTTTGGAGCTCCTGATTTATAATGACAGTCTAATTAGAAGTCCTGTGCCACCTGACCCCTGGCAAAACGTTCACTCTGCTTCAACCCCACAACCCTAGTCTTATTTAATTAGTAAGGCCCCTACATCATAGAACCCTTATGGGCACCCTGGTAAAAGGAATCCCTTAAAGGAGCCATTAACCTCGCCTGGCTTGTCCGAGTTGTGAGAGCGTAAAGGAGCCCTGAACCCCCCATCTTATATCTTCGCAGGTTGAGTTCGATGAGGACTTCGAGGATGAGGCTCGAAGTTTCAGCGTTTAGGGTTTGGATAGGGCTTATAAGGGGGTTTAGGGTTTAGGGTTTGAGAGTTTAGGGTTGGGCTTGAAAGGTTTAGGTTTAGGGGTGTTGTGTTTGGGGTTTGCAGGGGTTACGATGCAATTTTTGGGCTTGAGGTATGTGAGTTTGAGGGCTTCAGCTCATACACTTCGGGGGCAGTGCCGAAATCAAAGCCAGGCGACAGCATAATGTAAAGCCAGTGTGTTCTGGTCTTCAGCAGCTTCGACGTTCCAGTTGGCAGATTATGGGCTTCAGCTCAAGCACATGTCAGTTACAGTAGAAGGCTTCTGTCCTCCATCCTCTCTACCGGTCCCAGCTGTTGTTTCATGCGCGGCCGCTTTGCCAGCGTATGGCTGCCTTATCGGGAGTTCCGCAGATTCCTCACAGATCCTCGTCCTGCTTGTTGTCGATTTTGCTATGGACAGCGGGGTCTCTCCTGTCTGTCAGGCCCTCTGTGTTCAGCTCGCCTCGGCACAGGGTAAGCAAGTCTATGGAGAAGCTCACAGAAGAGAGGGGACTCCTCCTCAGGAGCCCTGCTTCAAAGGTCGGGCTTGGAAGGGAAGCAGTGGAACTCACCCCTACAGAGATCAAAAGCTTGGACATCATCTCGAGTGCTGCGAAGAGGCTGGACTGGTATGCTGCCAGGAAATCTTGGGAATCTTGCAAGGTCTTCAAGGCTCCGTTGTGTAATGGAATCATGCATGCAGCATTTCGGTGCGGGAGGTTCAAGTACGGTGCCGAAGTGTACGCTGACATGTGCGACGCCGGCACACAGCGAACTGCCATTACGTACACCACAGCCGTCCGGCTCTTTACGCAATTGAAAAACCATGTGAAGGCCTTCTCTTTATGGGAGGATGCCAAGAACAGTACAATGTCGACATGGATGCCAAGGCAGAAGTATTTATTTTTGAACGAAATGGTAAATGATGCAGCAACTGCCGCTTATCTAACACGAGTTTCTATGTTTCTTGACGAGATTTTGCAGGAGGGCATGGCTATCGATGCCGGGACCTGGGGTGCTGCTTTGAATGGCTGCAAGCTGGCCGCAAAGCCCAAAGTCGCAGTGTATTTTTTGGGGCTAATGGCACGGGGAAACATATCGGTTAACGAGGTTCACTTCAGATGTGTGATGGCTGCCTATGCTGGCAGGCCATGGCAGGAAGTAAACGCGATAGCCTCGAGGGCGGCGCAACTGGGCATCGACACCCTAGACAGATTCTTCGTGGACGTTCATGTAGCATCACTGCTTGGAAGCCTCTCGCGGACATCGAGGGTCAAAAGCCAAGCACAAGCTCGAAAGCTGGTCGATGATGCAAAGCCGGAGCATCGCCGCGCCGCGCTGGATGTGATTTCCCAGGCCAAAGCTCAAGGCACCGACTTGCTCAGACTGACGAGGATGGTGTATCGTGCTTTGCAGGAGTGGCCTCAGCGTTTGAGAGGTGTTTGGTTCTTGAGTTGACTGAAACCGACAAACAGACCTGTGCAAATCCGACATCCCGATATACTCCAAACCGCGGCGTACAACTTAAGGCTTAATGCCTCTGACCTCATACTGTAGAGCCTGACCCCCTGGCCCCTGACAGCCGACAAGCAATAATTACATCTGAATCCGCTTATATACTCCGACTGGCCCAGAATCTCTAGGACTTGTTGCATTACATGCCTAAAAATTCCCTACACCATGTAAACTCTATGTATGAACCGACAAGCGCTGCCTGCGCACTCAGGGAGGCAAACGGAGCCCGACATCTCCTACCAGTTTCGCCTTGGTGATCTTTCCATACCCATAGGCTCCTTAGTAGTTCCTTTTTGTGGTTTGTATTTAGGATCCTAAAAGGTAATCCTCACAAAAAAAAATACCAAGGAGCCTAGTTTAGACTTACCTTGCGACGCTTGCAGCGGTTGCAAATCCCCTCTGCGTGATGTGCAGGCCGAGACCAGCGAGGAGGAAGATCCGTCCTTCCCAGGACTGGGTTTAGGGTTTAGGGTGTAGGGTGTAGGGTCTAGGGTTTAGGGTTTAGGGTTTGGGGGTGAGACCGAGGCTTCAACCGAATGAGTTGAATTGTCAACCCGGCTGCGTAACTTCTTTCGTGCAGGGCCCACAGCATTGTAGATGCACGCAGCATGGCCGGTGGATGTCGGATAATTTTGAAACGCCCGACTGCAATGCCACACAGCTCAAGCTCCTGCTGAATAAGTACACGAATGTATGTGTATATGTATGTGTATGTGGATGTGGATGTGGATGTGGAT